AACCCAAACGTGCGACGACAGACGCCACGTGGCTGCACCCAAAGGCCCGACTCATCGGAATCACAACCATCCTGGGCAGACCTCTCCCCGAACCGCCGCCCCCAAAACAGACGGATCGAACGCTAAAAGACCGAAAGTACCTCGCCCTAAGCCCTATTGCATCTATGCCCATGAAACTTTGCCGCAGGAAATCTTAGTTCCGACCTAGGACTCCACCCCCAGTATCGGAGCCCGACACATGGCAGGGTTCTAGGACTCATAGTTGGGCGATCTGGCTAACAGGGGACGACCCCGACCCCGAAACACGCATCGACACGATCCCGTCGTTACCAGAAGCCGGTTTGCGGCTCGACGGACGGTCAATATGAATGCTAATCAACAGAACCCCCAACAAAACCCGAATCCCCAGCAGAATCCTAATCAACCCGCACCACCCGCACGGGCTCCCATGACGCCCCCTGACCTCTATCTGTTTGATCCTGTGCATCATCTTGCTGGAGCATGGCTAGCCACGCTCCGCGCTCAGCAGTACGACGACAACGAAGCCCAGGTGAACATCCCTGCTCGATTAGGAGGGGACACTCATAATTGGTTTAGCACCTATGTATGGGTGGATCTCCCGACCTTCGAGCGAGATTTTTTGAATAGGTTTAATTACATCCATCCGGAATAAGCACTCTTTATGATTAAAGATCGAGTCCAAAAACCCCTCGAGTCTGTCACGGAATATCGAAACCGGTTTTACCGAATGTTTGTGAAAACAGAGCGAGGTGAGCAAGTAGGAAGAGATTTGTTCATCGACGGACTTCGCAGCAGAACGATGAGGGCGAAACTGCGAAAACAGTTCTCCCCCATCAATCACACACTGCAGCAGATCATGGTCGCGGCAGAAGAAATGGAGCGAAAGTTTGCTGTGAGTTTCCTCGAAGGGGAAGATTACCCTAGGGAAGGAGACTCGTCTGAATTAGCCAGCGCTAAGGCTGAGCTGGCCGCGTTGCAAAACAAGTTTGAAAACATGGGGTTTGCATCCGGACCGGTCACCTATTTAGAATAAATTACCCCTAAACGGTTAGTCCCAAATGTGATTGCCAACGTACCCGCTCCCGTGATGACAGTGCCCCCACCCCCGACCGAAAATCCCGCACGGTCAGCCGACTCAACCGCCTTGCTCGAACTAACCATTACATTGGTTAATTTGATTCAGGAGAGTAAAAAGGAGCAACGGGAACACAATGCTCGAATCGAGGCGATGATGAGATAAATGCGACCCATCGCAGTGCATGTCTCACCGATCCAGCACGGATTGGCTCCGGCACCACTGCCAGCAGGGATCCTGGACAATCTGAATGTCTGTTACACATGTCACCAACCAGGGCACATAGCCCGGGATTGC